CAAATGTGGTGCACAGATGTGCACGCAGGTAAAACACACATACACATAAAAAGTAAAGATACAGAAAACTTCATGTCACTTAGAGAGGCAGTCACGCAGCCATGTAAATCTGCCCAACTGACCCTTTTCTTCACTCTCTAAGTAAGCTCTATCTCTCTACGCAAGCTTTTCCTAACACTTCAGGGCTTTGCTCCCGGTCTAAAGTTCCCTTTTCTTCCCCGAGGCTGCTGGTAGGCCCTGTGGCTGACCTCCATTATCAGCCTAACTCAAGGCAAGGCCTTTTCTCTCTTTTCTGGCTTCCTCTTCCAGGCAGTTCTAAAGATCTGCAGTTTGACGCTCCCAGTTTTCCTCTTAAACTCTACTAAGGCAAGTTCCAGGAGTCAGTCTTGTTTCTTCACAGCAGGTCCCGGGGCTCAGACTCAGGCTCCTGTGCAGCAAGCGCTTCTGCTAAGCCACCTCTCCAGCCCTCGCAGGCACGACTCCTGGTCTGCATGAACTACCTACAGGACTGGCTTCAGCCTCCATCTCTGTCCCTGTGTCTTGCTACATGGCCCTGGCCAGCCTGGAACTTGCCGTGCAGACCAGGATGACCTCCAACTTGCAGCAATGCTCTATCCTCTAGGTTCTGGGATGACAAAAGTGTGTCACTGTATCTGGGTCCCCCTTGTGTTTACAGTAAAATCTAAACTTTAAGGCCCTCAAGGGTCTTTGTAATTAGTGCCCCTCCTGCTTCAACCCTCCTTCTACCCCTTCTTATTCCATTTCAGTCACATAGAGTCCCCTAAATATGCAAACTTGTGCTTCTGCCCCAGTGCATCACGTGCCTGGATCGCCGAATTACCGAAGTCTCAGCTGAGATGGCATCTCTAGCAGACCTTGGCCAGCACATCTGAGTCAGAACCTCCAGCTCCGACAGTCTCCCTAGATTTCCCCCCAGAACTGTTTGTCTGAAATTGTCCCGCGTGGCATCAGTTAGGTTCCTTATTCATCTGATCAAGGCCTCGACAATGTTGAGCAGTAAGGGTTGTAAGAGTTGCTAACTGGGGGCACGGGAGGACTGTAACCTGCTGCGAGGAGACTCCCATAGAACACTTTGCTCAGCTCCCCGTCCCTCTAGTCCTGAGTCTTTCCTGGGCACATTCTAGAAAAGTTGCAGGGGAAGAAATGACAGCTTATAGATAGGAAAGTTGAAGATGTCTCCTTTGAGGTCCCTTTCCTTCCCTTCTCCTTTCTTTCTAAGATAGGATTAATCTTGGTGGGATCCTCCAGCTTCAGGCTATTGAGTCCTGGGATTACAGGCACGCGTCAGCATCACTACTACACTCGGGAGTGGAACCATCCTGGCAGAAGTAAAGGCACTCCATTGCCCATAACTCGTGCCCTCTATTTTCAACCTAAACCTTATGTCAATAGCCTAGTGACTTGGGAAGTCACTGGGCTTACTTGTTCCTTTCCCCAATGTAACCACATTGGATAAATCTACTTTTCACTCTTGTCTCATTTACTGGAGTATTGAGAACATGCAGCCAAGGCTAGCCTCTCTCAGAAGTTCCTTAGCATTCTCTTCTGCACACCCAAGCTTGTGTACTAAAAACTACCAATGGTATGCTGGCTAGATTCTGAGCTCAGTTCTGTGGGCTCCAAAGCACATAGTCCTCACTCTAAGGAATAACCCACTGCCATTTGTAGGTCCTGAGCTTCAGGGTCACAAACTGAGCCCCAATGCCAACGTACCAGCAGAGCTAGGATTGTTTTCAACACAGGGTTTCTCTGTCTAGCCTCGGCTGTCTTGGAACTCCCCCTTGTAGAGGCTGGCCTTGAACTCACAGCTTCACCCAGCACGAGCCTCTGCCTCCCAAGTACTGGGATTAAAGGCGTGCACCACCACACCCAGCTCAGAGCCAAGATTCTAACTAGGGTTTGTCTCACACCAAATCTTGCATCTTGTACTGGTACCACACTTTTTGCACCATCTGGGAAGTGAGAAGAGGCACTTCCTGGGTTTCTAGCCTTTAGACTGTGCAGAGTCAAATGGAGCCGAGCCTGGTAGCAAAACTTACTCCGTTTGCTGTTGGCGTGGCCCAAAATTACACACAGTGGAAACTCAGGAGCTAATTAAGCCTCCAGACATCCTTGGCTGATTGAGAAATCCCACCAGGGGCTCAGGTAGCCACCGGCTCTCCACTTATGGAACAGGACTGGGGGGTGGGGGGATGGTTGAGAGCGCAGACAAAGAATTTAAACCTTCTAGGCCAAGTTTGGTGTGGAAGTACAAGCCTGTAATCCTAGGGCTTAATCAATACAGGCAGGAAGATCATCCCAAGCCACCTGACAGTCTAAACCAGGGAGGTACCATGTCAAAAGCAAACAAATGAAAAACCAAAGCCAGAGCTGGCAAGAAGACTCAGCTGGTAAAGGTGCTTGCTGCCCAGTCGATGATCTAAATTCAGTCTCTAGGACCCGCATGGTAGAGGGACAGAGCATAAGTTGCTCTCTGACTCATAGGCACTGTGCCACATGTGACCATTCACATAAATAAATGTAACTTATTTTTTTAAAATGACAAAGCTTTTAGGCCTCTCTCATCTGTGAAAGGAGATGCCTAGCTACATCAGGGAGGACTGGATTGGTTCATTTTTCTCCATTCTGACTGTGTTTTCTACTTTACAGGACAATTAAGAGCGGCAAGATTGCCACCCGTGCTACTAAAATGCAAGCCCAGAAATGGGAGCCTTCATTCACATGTCCAAACATATCAAGTCCTGCAGAGAATTTGCATCTTGGATGCCAATCAACCCCACTTTCTTTAATCCTCCACAGTGAGGTCCTACAGGCCTTATCTCTTTTTTTTTTTTTTTTTTTTTTTTTTTGGTTTTTCGAGACAGGGTTTCTCTGTGGTTTTGGAGCCTGTCCTGGAACTAGCTCTTGTAGACCAGGCTGGTCTCGAACTCACAGAGATCCGCCTGCCTCTGCCTCCCGAGTGCTGGGATTAAAGGCGTGCGCCACCACCGCCCGGCTCCAGGCCTTATCTCTTGCAGGAATCAAAAAGTGGCCTCACTCTCCAGTCCCCCATTACCCGAGGCCAGAACAAGAAAGTCACTATCTAGCTCAAAAAAAAAAAAAAAAAAAAAAAAACCAACAACAACAACAAAAAAAAAAAACAGTAAAGAGGGAGCTCACTCTTTGCTCTGGTGTACAAGAATGTGCCAGATTCTAGACCAATCTTCCTTTCTCTCAAATCAGAATGCGTCCACGGATGCTCAAAATTTTGTGAGTACCACGCTGCCTGGTCAGCAGGCGACTGGAGGCTGCCACTGTCTGTACCCTGATGCTAGAACTGCTTTGCTGGAGCCCTTCTTTTGAGTTTCCTGCCAGATGCCTGCTCTGACCTCCCCCGACATGTCTTCTTGAGCTCTTCAATTGACTGTAGCCCCCTCTGTGATCCGGTCTGCTTGGAGGGGTAGAAGAGAAGCCCACCAGACTTCCCATTGGGTGCCTGCTTGAATCAGAGCAGAGCCCCTACACATAGGCGGAAAGGATGAAAAGAATTACAAAACGCCGATGGTTTGGATAGTACGAGGCTCTCCAAAGAGTCCTCCGCCTCCAGAGCAGTTAATCTAGCCCTAACTATCCTGGAAACAGAAGAACAGAAGCCTTAGATAACAGCTAGGAACGTGGCAAGCTGGGTCACAAGGCTGCAGGGCTCCACGGAGTCTTCACAAACTCCAACTCCAGAGCAGACGTTGTCAACTCAGAGGCGAGAACGACCTGCTCGGGTCTTGAGTCACCTCTCAGAGAGTCGTTTTCCTGAGAAATAGGGGGCTCACTACCTCCTTAGCCTGCTGCATTGCTCCACGAGCTCGGGTCTTGGAGGGACCCGGGCAGGCCGTCCCAGTCTTAGTTTCCAGATGGTTTCTCCAAGTCATTGTTTCTCCTTCTCTTGGGCTCGCGCGCGCTCTCCTCCAGTCCCTGCCAGAGCCAACCCCCCACCCCGCGACCTCCCACTCCTCTCCATCCCTTTCACCCCCACCCAGGCTCTCCTCAAGAAGGCGGGTCCAGCTCTGCTAGCTCACCAATCCGAGAGCCCAGAACCGTCTCTGCCTTCGCGAGCCCTGCCCCACGCCATAGTCAGCCAATCGAAATTCGTGTTCGTACAGTCGGTTCGTCCAATCACAGGTGGGTTGTGAGTCCCGAGTGCCCCGCCCCTGCCGCGCTCGGCCGCTGCTCGGCTGGCGCCCGGGCTTCGGTATTCTCCGAGCGGCGCCGATTTGCGTCGGGCTCTGCCGGCTGCATCCGGAGGTGCGGGTGACGGCGCCGCTGTGCTCCCAGGGTGCTGGATGAGGCAGAAGCGACCCAACCGGGTCGCAAGGCGCCTCAGGCTCGGTCAGGGCAGGCTCGGCGTGGGTCCCAGGACTGAGCCGGAGGCCGAACGGTACACGTTCCCTGCCCGGCAGCGCCTCCCGGAGAGGTCCCTGCGGAGTCCGGGCGAACGTTTAGGTGGCTTCCGCTTCCCGGGGCCTCACCTGCGCAGGCCGCGGGGCGCCAGGTGCGGAGGCGAGTGCGCCGCCTGGGCGCCTCCCCCGGCCGCCAGCGGGGCGGAGGCGGGGCCGCAGCCCGGGCCTCCCGCGGCTCGCCCGGTCTCCTCAGTCTCACCGGTCAGCCGGGTCCCGCGGTTCGGGATGCTGCTGCCTGCTCGCGAGCCGCCCTCCACGCTTGCCCCCGCCGCCGGGGCCGCGCCTCTCTGTTTACATGCCGGTGGAGCCCGGGCCCCCCGAAGGTGAAAGTAGCCGACCCACAAGAAGACTGGTCCCTCAGACTCGGGGCTCCGGACTCAGATCCTGCCCTGCAGCCTCCGCCGCCATCTGGACTGGATCCGGCTCTGGTGTTTTTTGAGGAGGCGGGGGGTGTGATTTCGGGAAAGGGATCCTGGGGATTTCTGGGACCCCTCTTTTTTCTTCAATTTTTTTTTTGCCCTGCGGGCTTAAGACTCAGGGAACTCGCTCATGGCTTTTTTGATGAAGAAGAAGAAATTCAAATTCCAGACCACTTTCACCCTGGAGGAGCTGACTGCGGTCCCCTTCGTGAACGGGGTCCTCTTTTGCAAAGTCCGGCTGCTGGATGGCGGGGATTTTGTCAGTTTGTCGTCCAGGTAGGCATTGAGGCTTTCGTTTTTGCAGGGGAAGGTGTGTGTGTGTTTGGGGGGGGGGTGCTGGTGAGTGAGATCTTGATCCTCAGGTGTGAGGGACGGGCAAGGGGCTTCCGGGCGTTACACGTGTCTTTGGGAAGATTTGCTCTAGGCAGGACTCGGGGCCGAGTGATCTGGCAGTGTGCCAGGTAGGCACTTGTCTGCAGGTTACCAGCCCGAAACCTTCTAGGGTCCTGCCTGCATTCTCCAAGTCACCCGTTTTGCAAACTTGCATGGAAAGAGCTGAATGAAATTTGCACCTTGAGTAAGTAGGGGTGTCCCAGGCCACCTTGCCACCGAGCTGGCCCCTGTGGCTGTCATATGATTGAGAGCCTGGGCCAGCCACAGGTTTTCTGGCACTCTCCCCTTGGCTTGGAAACCCAGTCCCAGGCACTCCCTGGATCTGATTGTGGGTAGTGGCTGGATTTTGGGTTGCCCAGCCCCCTCTGAGTGACTGCCCTCGTCTGGCTGAAGCCGGACTGCTTTGCATTGCAAATGTTCTTGCCAGGAGACTACCTTCCTCGCCGAAAGAAGCCCTCTAGATAGGTTTTGTGTCTCTCGCTGTCCTGGTAGGTCCAGCTTTCCAGGTTATTGCTGAGTGAGATCTGAGTTCTCAGTCTAGCCTTTGCAGAATGAGCTCACTGGGTCACACAGTCCTGGCCTGGGCAATGGAAGTTCAGTTTGGTCTGTTCCCTCTTGTGCACAGTGAACCACACAGGTTTCTCCGTAGGGAGGAGTTGCAGTAGATAGTCCCACAATACCGCGCCTGGTCTAGGGCCTGGGCTGCCCTACTCTTCTTACCTCTCCCCTTCTTTGCCCCGTAGGTTTGTGGGCCTAGGTAGCTGGAGACGCCTCACTATTCTGAGTTCTCAGAGGTGTGCTTTACTGGTCGGGATAATGGGCCCCGAAAGAGGAAGGAAATGGTTGCCGGGGACCTTGCCTGAGCAATAGTCAACCAAACTTGGCCTGTTTGGAGACCTGTTGGGTGAATCTGCTGGGAGGAGAGAAGCTGCGTGGATAGAGTGAGGTGTCTGTCCTATGCACCGTCCTCCTGTTCTGCTTAGAGCTGCTTATCTGAAGAATTTAGACCTTTCTGGTGGGGGTGGCTGCAGTCTGCTGCCTGTGAAGCCTGTAATACCTACAGCTTCCTCTGCTAATGGCACAGTGTCAGAGGATTATGCCCAGAGATGGGCCTGGAGACAGCCACTTCTAGACTTGGGTGAATTACCCAGACTCCCTGAGCCCTGATCTCAAGAGCTAGCAATTACCGGTGCTCTGCTCACCGTTTTACTGGTGCCTCTTAACCCCTTGACTGTGCCATGGAGCAGGCGTAGAGGTGCGGGCCTGGGAGAGCGTTTTTACAGAGGTGAAAATAGAGGCTCAGAGAAAGCGGCTTTAGCTGCCATCTTGTGCCTCTAAGCCTCAGTTTACCCTTTCATAAAATGGGGAATCCTCACCTTTCGGTGTGTGGGGGATGGAGAGTATATCATGTCTCTCAGGGAGGTTGTTAAACAGCAGTTACTAGTACTCCCCTCAACCCCAGGTCATTGGCAGGGAGCTAGGGTGACACGGGATGTCAGCAGAGGTCCTAGGATTGGGCACAGTACCAGGAATTTGTACCACATTTGTACTAAGACCCTTAGCCAGCCACCTGTCAGCTTTTTCCTTGCCCCCGCTTGCCCCCACATCCTGGAAAGTCTGGAAAGTTCCGCGATTTAGCACACTGGATTTTACCTCTGTTTCCCCGTCTTCCTTCTGGCAAGAGTCCACAGATTCTCTGAGCCCAGCTGAGCCTAGGTGTCTTTCTTGGTTCCCATCCTGGATAAAGCCTCTTAGCGGGGAGTGGCTAAAGAGGAAGAACTAGCACTGAGGTCCAAAGCCGAGTGCTTACTCACCGGGTGCTGCAGCTGTGGCAGCGGAGAGCATTGATGTTGGAACCTGAGCCACTTTGAAGTGGCTTTGGTTTCTGTATGCTTTTACCCAGGAGGTGGGGGTTCCTAGGTTGCTGTTCCCTTTGCCCGCACCCCTCCCACACTGATCCTGTAGCCCAGAAGCCTGGGCCATCCCTCCACTCCTGTGACCTTATTGTTTAAGGTAGGGACTTAGGTGACTGAACCTGCTTAGATACTGGGCCTAGATGTGGCAGAACATCTTGCCAGCGCAGGGACCTCTGGATCGCTTGATGTGCTATTGGCAGCTTGGGTGGTAACAGACTAACAACAGCCCTAGGCCCCACCCCTGCAACCCTGCCTTCCTAGCTGGTGTTTTCCAGTGTGTTGAGTGTCATGGCAACAGCTGTACTCAGCTCTATCTGACCCAGTTGGAACAGGTGGAGCAGGTGACTCCCGGACTTGTTCCTTAGCCTCATCTTCCAGCACCACCTTAGGAGCAGCAGTTTACATGGCAGCGAGGTTCTGGGGCCCAGACTGTGCCAGGCAGAGTGCTGAGTGTTTTGCATCGGTTATCCCCACTAATCTTCCATTTGGAGGGACACTGAGGCCAGAGAAGTCAAACCGCACACTGGAGGTTACCAGGTTGTAAGTGGCAGTGGGGAACCAGTTCTTTTCTCATAATGACTTTCTCTGATTGTGTACTCGATGCCAGGGACTTGCTGAGCCACTCAAATACCTGACCATATGCCCTACTTAGAGGTGAAGTGACTGGTTCAGTGTAGCAGAGATAGACCTTGATTGCAGCAGCTCCAATTCAGAGACCTGTCTTGCCTTGGTGGCATGAGCTAGAAGCAACTACAGACCCATGTGGCATTTCAGACCCTACAAAGGCTTCTTTCAGTGGCTTGGGTGGTACAGTCGGATCTGGAGCTCTACAGTGGAGAGGCACTAAACTGGGTTTTGTGACACTCAAGGTAAATAGAGTCCCCAAGACTACAAGGCGGGTGGCAGGGGGACTGAAGTAATCACTGTGTATTTGTGCTCAGGCTTAGGCAATCACGGGCACAGTGGGCATTCGCCATGTGTTCTTGCCTGGGGCCTTCCAGGAAGTTAATCCAAGTGGTACCTGGGAAGGCTTTCAGGTTTGGAAGGTATCCAGGAACATACAGAGGTCCCATCCAAGTGTGGTGAGTCTGGCAGAGTTAGCATGTCTAAGTGGCCCTCAGGTCAGAAGGACCCCAAACCTCCCAGGGGCCCTGCTCGTTGGTGGCATTGGTTCTTTGGCTTGCCACATGCGTGTGGTTGCTGTGTCGGGAGAGGAGTGCAAGGGAACACTTACTTACAAGATGGAGAAGAGAGAGGAGAGAAGGATACTGTCCTCTTAGCCAGTGGACGGGGAAACCACAGCCTGGGGCAGAAAAGTGACTTGCCAGGGCTACTCCGTAGGAGAAATAATGGACCCTGTTGGACAGACTGTAGTCTAGCTCTTATCTCTGTGCCCTGTGCTTCAACCCACTAAGAAAGTGGGTTGGCCAGGAGGAAGAGAAAGACCCCTTGTAAGGTCACCTCCTGCTTTGCACTTAAGTGCCAGGCTATCTGAAAAACCGACCGTGACCTGAGGAGGCCTCCCTCATCCTTGTCCTTTCTTCTTGGCCAGCTTCGAGTCCTCAGTGAGCTTTCAGTGGGCTTTTATTTTTGTATACAGAGCCTGATTGCTTACCACACAGGCACTGCCTGCCTTCTGTGGGCACACCCATGTGCCCGTCATGTAGGAGCACTCGGGAGCCTCTGGGATTCTTGCAGCATAAAGGACTTCTTTGGAAGGATTAGCTCTGCATCCAGAGGCCTGTGCCCAGGTTCAGGCCCTGACTCTGGGACAGGCAGGCAGGCTTGATTGTTCGTCATCCAAGCCACACATTTGGCCAGGGTTCCATCCCTGTCTCTCAACGTCCCTCACTGAAAAAGGAATGCCACTGAGTTCACAGCCCTGCAAGGCGTACTCTGGGATAGATTGGTGTGGGGCTCTGAGAAAGCCTAGTGGAGATGGATGCCCTCACTCAGGATTCTCTAGCAGTGTGAAGATACAGGAGAAACCCTAAATTGGGTAAGGTATTTATTGTCCTGCTCATAATAGGGATGCTGTGGGCTGAACAAATTGAAGGTAGGAGGGAGCTAGTAGACACGGGTCTTTGCTTCCTCCCTGACTGAGACTTACTAGGATGCCTAGTATGCCAAGCTAATCTGGGACGGGTCCTTGTGGATCCCAGTGGGCCCTGGCAGACCAGCTGGGGAAATGTTTTTGTTCAGATTCTGTCCATTTTGTTTTCTCCCAAGTCGTCTCACCCTTGCCCGTAGTTCACTGTCTCATGGTAAACATACCATCACTATGGGGAGAGCGTCCCTGAGGAAGCAACACTTCATGGGACTGTTAGAAATGGAGAGGGGTCGAGCTGAAGATGGGGAAGAGCCTGTGGAGAAGCCTCTGGCTTGAAGGCGTGTCTGGGCAAGGTGGGATTGGGGTGTAGGAAGAGGGGCTCGAGGAAACAAAAACTTGTTGAACTGTTTCTAGTCTTGGCAGTCAACAGGGGACAGGGGAACAACGTGACATCATTTATCAATTAAGATGGTGGCTCTTAGGTGCTGGTAAGAGTCTATAGGCAGTATTGATCTAGCCTGGCAGAGTGGTGGAAGGCAGAGAGAAGAGGGAATGGACTAGAGAGGGGAGGAGGCAAAATGGGCAGGAAGGTTCCCTATCCTAAAGGCATGACACCATACTTTGAAGGTGCTAGAAGACAGGGTGCATAGTAGTCAAAGATGCCCTGGAAACTATTGCACATGTCAAAATCCAAATTTTCAGTTTCTTTTCTTTTCTTTTTTTCTTTTTTTTTTTTTGGTTTTTCGAGACAGGGTTTCTCTGTGGCTTTGGAGCCTGTCCTGGAACTAGCTCTTGTAGACCAGGCTGGTCTCTAACTCAAAGAAATCCGCCTGCCTCTGCCTCCTGAGTGCTGGGATTAAAGGCGTGCGCCATCACCGCCCGGCTTTTTCAGTTTCTTTTAATGGAAGATTGGACAACAGTACTGTGAGGTAACATTCAATGCAGAGGCCTTGTTACTGGGTTTTGAGAGCCCCCCCCCCCCCAGCATACTCTTAGATCTTTGGCATATTCTGAGGGTCTCTTATCAGTTTGGTTCCTGAGGCCCTGAGGTCTTTCCTGTGCAAGCACAGAGAGGGGGCCAGAGGACCTGTGGTAAGAAGCCCCTCTGGCAGAGGAAAAGGAAGGAGTGGGCTTAGAGGATGGCTGGGCAGCAAGGCCGTGGTCCAGGTCCCCTGTCTCTTTGAAGTCAGATCACACTGTGGGTTGGTAGCCTTGGTAAGAAGCTTCCCAACCTGTTTCAGGCCTTAGTAGCTGCTGCTTGCTTGGACCCGGTCTTTGCTGCCAACTGGCTACACTGTTGGCATGTGCCACCTTGGCAGTGCCTTAGCCTGCCTGGCAGCTTGGTAGTAGACCTAACCCGAGGAGCTCTGGCTCTGTGGAGCCAAGGCTGCTCCCTGAGGCCTGCTCTTTGCCTGGAGCTCCTGCTTGGCTGGGGCTTCTTGGCAGTAATAACAGTGCCTGCCTGTAGGTCCTGCTTACCTGGGAGTGGCTGGGAGGCCCTGCTTTGTCAGAACCTGGAAACCCTGGCTTGTTTTAAAGGGGCCCTGCCTGTGCATCTGGGTGCCAGCTAGTAAGTCTGCCTCCAGGTCTCAGGAACTTAGGTAGGGACTTGGTATTTGGAGTAAGGGAGCCAAGGACAAGTGTGAGAGGGGGAGAAACCTGGAGCTAGGGTGGGGTGGGAGGGCATAGAGCTCCTCTTCATCTACTTCTGGCAAGTGCTTTGTGTAATGGGGACATTAGACTTGTCCCCCGGTCCTGGTGGTGTTCTGAGCTTGCTGGCTACCCAAAGGTCAGTCTGCATTTCTGTAGGCTTGAAGCTGCCCAACCTGTACCCAACCTAAGTGTCACCAGAGGATTGTGGTTGCAAACTTGTTGTCTTTTTGCTTTGAGGCTCTTGGTACCCGTGGCTTAGAAGAGCTCTTCAATATAGACCTGAAACTGCTTTTTCCCCATTCTGTCCAGATGTTGCCTGGCAGTAAGCAGCCCTCGGCTCTGTAGCCACCTTGTTTTAGGTGTCTGCTGAACCCTAGCCTCTCGCCTGAGCCTCTCTTTGAAGCAGGGCTGCTGGGGCTGGAGGATGTAGTGATAGTGCTTGCTGGAATGGCAGCTTGGCTTCTGGTTCTCAGTGGGAACACTGTGTTATACTCCGTCCTATTCCCTCTGGGCCAAGTGGTATGCCTCTTAGTAGCTGATACTTCCCTGGGGATCCGGGCCACTGTGGTGCTGCCAAGAGAGGATGCCTATTCCTCGGGCTTGCTTCTTTGTCTTTAGCAGGGGTGGACGCCAGCAAGGAGTACCTTAGGGTCTGAGCTCAGGGCCTAGTGGGGTTTGCAGTGGGGTCCACATACTTTCTCTTCCCTATTGACTTAGTCCTTCTCTACCGAAACACAGCAAGCAGACAGCCCCTCACAAAGGTGCAGGGTACTGACTGTAAACCTTCTGGTAGGGTGAGGTAGATGAGAGAAGCCAAGGTCTTTCAGTGGCCAATATACTGTCCCCTGTCTTTCTGGTTACTCCGCTCTTCCTCAACCCTCTTACCGTGCTTTTCCACATGAAACTGCTGCTCAGCCCAAATGGCCGCTCCTGGGGAGTCTCTACCTGCCCTTGGCCTTGTCACCTGCTGTAGCCCTCATTTCAAGGTTCATTGTTTCTAGCTTTTTCCCCGAAGCAGGAAAGAGTTCAAGGCCAGAAAAGCCTCCACTGCATCTTAGTCTTTGGGCCTCTTGCTATGTGTTGGCAGTGTCCCAGGCTGGGACGTCTCTCTCCTGGCTCTGAACCAATGTGGTTGTTGGTGTTGACTGTGTGGTGGCTACTGCCAGCTGCTAAGCCCAAGCCTACTCCCAACCCAGTGCCCAAAGTATCAGCCTGTGCCAGGAGGAACCCTTACCCGTATACTGGGCAGCTGGCTTAAAGGGTGCAGTTGACACGCAGCCACGGCCATTGGCTCAGTTGGGTGTGCCACTTGCAGAGGAGAGCGGGCGCACAGGTTGGGGAGGAAGGAAGAAAGTGAGCTTGGGCACTGCCATTGATCTTGTAACTGCCGAATTGCTCTGTGACTGTGACCAAGGGCTTTATCCCTGCAGACCTAGAGGGTGCTCTCTTGAGGGCAGGAAAACTGCACATGACCAGACCCTGGCAGCTACTACCGACTAAACCTGCAAAGAGAGGAAGTGCACAACCTGCTATCAGGAGGACAGAGGCTGGTTCCTGTTCACATGTGATGTGCCCTCTTCACCCACCACTTCCTGTCTGCAGACGTGTGCAGACAGCACCTGTGGCTTCCCTGGGTTGTTCGTGTCAGTTTCTTGGTCACCTTATGTGTTGGGGGCCATGGGGATATAGTCTGTACCTCTGTAGGATCCCACCTGTGGCACATGAACTCCATGCTAAACAACCCTTGAGGGAGAAATGTGAATTGGGGTAGGTAGGGTTAGAGACTGGTTGTGGGACAAGAAGAGCTGAGCAGGAAAGAGCCAGTGCTTTGGAGGGGAGGTTCTTGGGGCTGGACTTGACAGTATGCTGAAGAAGCGGGTGGGTTTGAATCCATCAGACTTGCTCCCCACCACCCGAGACAGGGTTTCTCCGTGTAACAACCATAACTATCCTGGAACTGACTTTGTAGACCAGGCTAGCCTCGAACTCACAGAGATCGGCCTGCCTCTTGAGTGCTGGAATTAGAGGCATGCACCAACACACCTGGTTCAGACTTGCATTTGATTTATTTCTTAGTTCATTACTTTTATGTATATGGGTGTTTTGCCTTCATGTAAGTCTGTACACCATGTATGTGCAGTGTGCATGGAAGCCAAAAGGTGTCAGTCCCCTGGAACTATAGTTACAGATTGTTGTCAGTCTCTGTGTGGGTCCTGGGAATGGAACCCTGGTCCTCTGGAAGAACACCCAATGCTCTTAACTGCTGAGACATCTCTCTAGGCCCCAGACTTGCTCTTTAGAACTACCAAAGGCAGCAGTATGGTAGACAGTTTAGGGCTGCCAGTTATAGTAGGGCAAGTGTGTTAAACAGAGAAAACTATCTTCCCAGCCATTGTCTTGGACCAATTCGAAGCTGGAGCCATACTCTGCAGCAGCCAAGGTGAAGCAAAGGCCAACCTGGTCTACAAGAGCAAGTTCCAGGACAGTTTGGTACCACAGAAAAAGGCCCAAGGCAAGAGTCCATGAGTTCAAAAATGACCTGGCTCAGAAAAGATGAAGTTATGTTTGTTGGAGTTGGGACCATATCTGGAAGGGGCTTTTAGGCTTGCAGAATTCTGCTTAGGTTTAGTTGCACAAGTATGTTCTCTCTGAGGACTTGTGAGCTGCATGTCTCTGTTGCAGAAACAAGCCTTGAGATGCCCATACCTTTAGGCTCTAGGTGGGCACCAAAGCTTTCAAGACAAACACAAGGGTGCCTGGAAGTCTGAAGTTGATCTTTGGGGTTTTTCCTTGGTCTTCCTGGCAAGCCAGCCTGAACCATTCCAACCTGATGAGCATCATTCTTGTTTATGAGGCAGTGGTTCGTTTTGGCAACTGCAGGCCATCTTCTTGGGCTGGGGATTTTCCTTTACCACTTGTAACCCCAGCACAACAGAGCTTCCAGGCTCGAGTTTAGCAGTTTGAAGGCTTGGTGGGCTCCTGAGTTATTGCCAGACCACTGGGTATCTGGACTTTGCCTGTGGTGGGTAAATGAACTGTTCCATAGGCTGCCATGGTGAACCTGTTACTACCCATCATAGCTTCTAGCTCAGAGCACTAGCTGGCATGGCTAGTTTCAATTCAGAGCAGTTGTTGGAGGGGGTCTGGGGCTGGAAGCATAAAAGGAAAGGTTTTAATCCCAGCACTTGGGAGGCAGAGACAGGAGGATCTCTGTGAGTTCGAGGCCAGCCTGGTCTACAGACAGCCAGGTTCCAGGACAGCCAGGGCTGTGACACAGAGACACCCTGTTTTGGAAAAAAGAGAAAAGGGAAGGTTCACATTTCTTACCCCCTCTCTCCAGTTGTTGCTCTTCTTTCTGAGGTTCACCTCTTGGAAAAAGTGTGATTAGAGCTGGACCACTGCCCTGGCCGTGATACTTGTGGTCCCTACCTGAGGCCCATAAGCAGGAAGAGACCATTAGACATATCTGTCTCAGGGAAGTGGAGAGCATAGAGGAAATGGTGTTTCGCTACTAACCTTACATCAACACCAAACCCTCACCTTCTGTTGGCTTTGAGGCAAGGTCTCACTGTTTGGCCCCTGCTGGCCTGCATCTCACAGAGATCTGCCTGCCTCTGCCTCTCAAGTGCTGGGATAAATGGTGTACATCATGATACCTGGCTCCAGACCCTGTCTCTGGGATGATGGATGTGTCCCACTAGTCTCGAGATGTACCCTGAGCTCAACAACTCATGGGGCTTGTATTTGCCAAAAGGACGACAGGAAACAACTGGACCTGGTTGTGAGACTGGCTCTGCCCATTATGGGTATAGGAAAGGCAGCCTTTCTTTTTTTTTTTTTTTTTTTTTTGGACAAAGGGACTTTATTAAACTGCCAGGATCACAATAGGACTTAGGAATTAGCATTGGGGCCCTTCTTCTTGCCAAAGGTGGGCACAACGTTGACAAAGCGACGGTTGTACTGTATCCGTTGCTTGGCCCGGCCTGTCTTCTTCTTCTTCTCCTGCTTGGCCACCTTGGGAGTTTGACCTCTCACTTTTCCAGCACGGGCCAGGGAACCATGAACTTTACCTCCCAGCATGCGGCCAGCTACTTCCAAAGTGGTCAGAGCTTCCACGCCACACTGGCCTAGGGTGGCCTCATCCTCCAGCGGCGAGCCAGCCAGAAGCAGGACTTGATCCTCAGGGGCAATGCCTTCCAGTGAGGTCACATGAGCTTTGATCTGGGCGACCGTTTCTTGGCCTGTCACCTCGAGGGTGTGTAGTTCCTGGACGCGTAGGAAGAGCTGCATGTTGGCGACTAACCCACGGACGCCGAGGCTGCTGGAAAGGCAGTCTTTCTATGTGGGCAGCAGTTGAGTAGACAGCTTGGAACTCCAGGTTGCAGAAGGCATCCCTTGTAGCAGCCATTATCACAGACAAGGACCCAGCACATGACTCTGCTAAAAAAAAAAAAAAAGGGCCCAAGTCAAGATCCATGATGGCACTTGAGTAGAGTTCAAAGGCATTCTGGTTCAAGAAGTTGAGAAGGTTGCTTGTCCTCAATGTGTGGACCTGTGCCTGGAAGGGGCCCACTTAGCCTGACTCCTAGACAGTGCTCAGTAAATGTGAGTGGAGGTAGTAGTGGTGGTCGGCCCAGGATGATGGCCTTCGAGTCTGCAGAGTCTCAGGTGTGCACCGAGGAGGTGAAACCCAGTGAGTCAGGTCCTCATGGTCCTGTTTGACCCTGGGCCCTCGGTCCCGTGGTTGGAAACTTGGGTAGCTGCTGAGGACAGCTGGAAAATCAGGTCTGAGTCAGAGTCAGGCTGTGAAGAAAGGTGACTGACTAAATGGCTCCTGATTATCCTGTCGCCTCAGAAGTTCAGAGAGCCATGGGGGAATTCTCTGTGCAGCAGGGACACCTGGGTAGAGAGCAAGGTGTAGTCACATCTGGGAAACTCCTACCTAGAAGCAGAGTGAGAAGAGATAGAGTACAAAAGATCTCTCATTCAGATGTCAGATCCCCAGATCCATCTTTGAGGACAGGAGACAACAGCGAGTATACCAGGAGAGGCCCTGCTCCCGGAATCTTGGCTCTGTGAGACAGAGGCCTTGATTGCTTCCTTCCGCACGTATAGGCCACGTCCTGTGTGCACAGGAGGTACCTCAGGAGGGTCTGGGTGTGGGGGTCCCCATGACGAGTGTCCAGTCATTTCAGGAACCAGGCCTCAGCGACAGTAATCCTTCTTTCCTCTCACTCCTTCCTCTTCCAGTGAATCAAACACCACCCAGGCCTGAGTCAACCAGGAGCTGGTCACACATTCCTGCCACCTGCCACACCTCTGGGCATCTCAGCTGGGTTTTAGGCCTAGGAAATGGCCAGATCCAGGGTCTAGGGCAAGGAAGAAGGCTGGGTCGTGGTTTTTGCATCTTCCGGATCACCTGCCCCCGATTTCCTCTCTGCAGACACTTTCAAAGGGCTAGGCTCCTCCTACTACGTTCAGGTCAGCTCATAGCAGCCCCATGAGAAAGGGTAGGATGGTGACTGAGACCCAGGAGCTCTGAAGGTCATTGGGTGGCAGAGGCCTGCTTGGACCCATCGTTGCCTCTCCAAGCCTCTCAAGTGAGCCTACTAGGTACAGGAAGGGAAGTTCCCTGACAGATCCAGCTCCACAGCTCTGTGTGTGCTAATAGTCTGGATTTTAGGAGAGGAAGTTGGTATCACATCCCAGTATAACCATCCACTGTGTCTTCTTGATTTGAATTCCTAGGGCCTCTAGTTTCTGGTCCTTACATGGAAAGGTAGTGTTGGACATGGGTTCACTTCTCAAACCTCTAGTCAGTAGACCTTGGGCAGCTGAATTCTTGGGCCTTGGGTTCTTGGCCTGTGACATAGGGGTGATGGGCTATGAACTCTGACCATCTCTCCCTTGGTATGAGCTCAGTTTGCAATACCATCTCTTCCCTTCCGTGTAATATTTGTGGTAAAGGATGAAACCACAGGGCCTAGGGTTCTCTCATGACAGATAGTCATGCTATTTATCACTGAGATCTGAGAATGGTTCTCCCATGTTGACAGATTTCCCAGGGATCTTGGGATCCTGCAGTGTTGGGCTTGGGGTATAGGCTACCCCTCAATTCCTGTAAGACCTGCCTCATGTCCCTGGACTCTCTGAGAGTCAATGTCCTGATCTGTGAAGGGGAAATAGGTAGGGAATCAGCCAGTGAAAATCGCTGTACTTGGCATGCAAGAGGACTTCCAGGAAGCAGGAGCTGGGGGCACCTTTGCTTAGTGCATGGGACTGGACCTGCATTGCATTCAAAACTAGCAGTTTAGCCGGGCGGTGGTGGCGCATACCTTTAATCCCAGCACTTGGGAGGCAGAGCCAGGCGGATCTCTGGGGGTTCGAGGCCAGCCTGGTCTACAAGAGCTAGTTCTGGGACAGGCACCAAAGCTACAGAGAAACCCTGTCTCAAAAAAAACAAACAAACAAAAAAAAAAAAAAACAAAAAAAAAAACCTAGCAGTTTGCTGTGGATCTCTTCACTAGGGCTTGAGGATACAGCCCAGTAGTAGAACTCTTGCCTAGCATGCACACCGCTCTGGGTTTCGATCCTAGCACCAACAATAAAAAGAAAAGGTAGTGACTACTGGCACCATTTCAGAGCCTGGTTCACAGGCATTGCCTTGTGGTAACATGAACTGTCTGCAAACCCTGGTTGTGGAGCAGAAGGTAGAAGGGGACGGCGACATGCCTGTGTCTGTAAACAAAGGATCCCACACCTACCTGTCTTGCGCTTTTTGTAGGTCAGTCCCCAGGTTACTTGGCTGAAAAATACCAGGATTCAAACCCAGATGTGTCTAACTAGCGCTGATGCTCCCAACCCAGCAAGCTTGAGCACCCTGTTGGAACCTCACCCCTGCTCTGTTGCACAGTTTCTAAAGCTGCAGTTTGCCCATATTGTGCTTGATGGGGTCACCGGTTAATGTCAGCCTCACTCCCAGCCTTTTTGTCAGCCCCTGAGCCATCTCTAGGGTTCTTGTCAGGGGGGAGCTGAAAAGGCAGCATGGGACCCTGAGGTGCTTCCTTAAGCTCTCCAGTGTTAGGCACAAAGTGGCTTGGCTTCTAGGAACTTCTTGCTGCCTCACTACGGGAGGAGGGACTGGCAGGCTGAACTGTAGGGAACTGTTTCCCCTGCACGTGGCCCTGAACTCCTGGCAGGAGCCAGACACTGTTGGGCTGCCACGTTGGCCCCTCTGGCCTGCAGCCCCTGGACGGATGCCCTGACCGGCCCCTGGGGTGGGCCACTCCCCAGGCAGCTGTGCCGTGCTCTTCGGGAAAGCACTGGCAGATGTTGCTGATTTAAATTGTTTCCTATTAGACTCTCGCTCAGGCCAGGGCTGCCTCTCATCTGGCCGGAGCATAGATTGCATCACTAGCACCACTCATTCCTTGAAGAACCAGGCAGAGCCTGGGGTTCAGGCTGTTGCTGGGCAAAGCAAGGGAGGGGCAGCCTGGATAGCAAGTGTGGATACCAATGATGGAACTTGCTCTGATGCCTGTGGACTGAATCAGAGAACTAAGTGTCCTAGGACCCAGGAACACAGCTAGGGGTCCTGTCAATGCCTGCTTCTCTCATCAGAGTTACCTGGAAGTTGAGTGAAGAGTGGCTTCCAAGGCCCTGTAGTGCATCTCCACTGGAGCTGGTTTTGTTAAGTCTCAAGGCAGCTTGTCACATCTGGAGTTGTTCACCTCTAATTGGCAGGGTGCAGCTAAATGTGCCACAGCCACAGGACAGCTTCTCAGAAAGAAAATCCCTGCCCTGCACAGCCCGTGGTCCTGCAGGTCAGTAGACACGTATGTGCTCACTTGTGTCTGGAGACGCCTGTCCTGCTGGGCTTCACGCCCTACTTTGCTCAGATTTGAGCACCTAACCCTCTTCCAGTGCAGTGCCCCATAATGAGCATGCCAGTGGTGAGTAAATGTTCTGATGGGCATGTACATTTGTGTGTCCACGTGCATATGCGCGCGTGTCTGTACGTATCGTGTATGTTGGGGGATAAAACTCAGGTGGCTAGGATTGTGTACCAAGCACCTTTTCCTAGTGAATCTTTTAACTGGCCCCTGATGGATACTTACATCTGGGAAAGTGAGTGTTGTAGGTGGCTCTAGGGTCACCCTGGAGCCCTGTCACAGGGACTGAGCTACCATACTATTCCCTGGGGTCCCCTTTTCCTTGTAACTGCCAGTCCTGCTGCTTGCAGGGAGAGTCCCCCAGGGTCCATGGGTTCCTAGCAACCTATGGCTAGGAGGGAGCTCCCTGGCAGTCAGTCTCTGTCTCCTGTGCGGTGAAGGTCAAAGCCACCGAGGCTCTGGGCCCTGCTGCACCTTGTAAGGAGTGATGCTGCTAGGTACAGTATTTGTTGCAGCGAGCTCATTCCTAGGAACCATGAAGCCAGACTCTGGGGTGGCTCCTAATGGGAACATTATTACATTTCTTCTGTCAGAGAAATTGTTGGAAATGGCTCACTTCAGCCTGACCTGCCACCTTTCCCCGTTTTCTGGGGTTCTTTTAAGAGTCTTGGTTGTTGTGAGCCAGAGGGCCTTTCCCTCCTCCGTGTCCATGTTCATGTTGTGAACCGGGGAGACCTTTCCCTCCTCCGTGTCTATGTCCACGTTGTGAACCGGGGAGACCTTTCCCTCCTCCATGTCCATGTTCATGTTGTGAACCAGGGAGACCTTTCCCTCCTTCCTGCTTCAGTACGGGAAGGATTGAAATGATACAGTGAGTTGGGAGTCTCTGGCAGGCTGCTGCGGGGAGACCTGGTGTTCTATGAGTTTGTTTCACCCCCCTGGACCTCAGTTTCGTCACTGTAGAACAGAGGTGGTGTTTACACAGGCCTTGGGGTTATTGGGCCGTTCTTTCAGTCCTGTGCTTGAACCTGGAATCCCACAGAATAAGCTCAAGGCTTGGGGATGCTTTATTGAAGTAGAGGGCCGGGGGCATAGAGAGTGAAGATTTTTCTGCCAGCTCTGTCCTGGACTTTTAGGGAAAGAGGCCATGTTCACAGACAGCTGTGGTCCCCGTTAGTATGGGACCCTGATGGTGACCAGCCACATTTCCTGGTCGCAAGACACAGCAAGGCAGATGCTAGGCAGATGTGGCTCTGCAGAGACACTGGGTTGATGTACTTCCTCCTACCCAACTTGAACTGATAGTGAAAGAGCCCCGTGCAGTGGGCACGCCACCACCTCCTTTTGGGCTTTCCTGTGATGTTCCTATTGCTGGAGACTCCCTTTATCTTTACCCAGCTGACACCGCCCACCCCCCTGAAACCCTGACTGTGACGTCACTGCCCCCAACATCTGTCCTGCTCTGTAGAGAGCTCTTTATTGGCAGCTGCCAGTTGTTTCCTTGTGTAACATGTTTCCCCTCTGCCCCAGGACCCTTCAAATGTTCATGCCATGCCTGTAGCCTGATCTGGCGCCTGCACTCTCCATGGATACCGTACAGAGGTCTGCTTGACAGTTGGATACAGGTCCAAGGTTCTTGCTAAGCCGTTCCGTGTCCGCCTGAGCTAGGCAGAGGCAGTCAGAAGAGTCCTAGAGCCAGGAGAGATCCGGGAAGTCCAGAGCATCTGAGTCCACTGTTTTGTGGGGCACTTACTCTATTTTAGGACAGTTCAAAAATAACTGCAAGGTGGTCACAGAGACCACAGTGGTTAAAGGCTCTCGGATTTGCACGTCTAATTGTATATCTTAAAACTAAAAGCAAAGCCTGTCTCTTTAATTACCTGTCCCTGGCTGTGGAATCTGACTTACAGCCTTCCCACCCTGACAGCCAGTTGCCCACATTCACTTGGCACGTCCCCACTTGACAGTGCCTCAGGGGGGTGAGGGTGGGCCCTGGCCTTGAATCAGATACTTGTGGTTCAAATCCCTTGGCTTATTATAACCACCCATCCTAACTTAATTTCCCTCTCCTTTAAATTTTATTTTATTATTTTTATGTTTTGGTATTTTGAGACAGGGTTTCTTTGTGTAGCCCTGACGGTCCTGTCCCCGACTGTCTGTAGACCAGGCTGTCCTCGAACTCACAGAGATCCGCCTGCCTCTGCCTCCTGAGTGCTGGGATTAAAGGTGTGCATCTCCACCACAGGGCTTAAAGTTAAATTTTGATGAGGAGAACTACTCTTAGACAAAAACAACTCCTCACCCCAGTTCGAACAGACTTGACTGAACCGTCCCCTTCCTTATGGCCACTGTCCCTTTATATCAGCATGAATAAGCCAGGTGTCCAGGAAGCCAGCAGTTCAGGGTTCTGGTCTTTTCTTGGGTTGGGATGATCTCCGAGCCCTGGTTTTTGCCATTTTATTTAGTTATCTGGGGCTGAGCATGCTAAAGTTTTGTGATTTTACACTTGCTATTGTCTGGTTGCATCCTGAGCCATTTTATCAGGGCAGGGAGTAGGATGCATGCTGTTTACATCTTAAGTATAATTTGTCTTTTCACTTTCTTGATTTCCATGGCCGGCCCACTGTGCTCCTGATGAATGGGGATATAGATTGGGCACTGCTGTGCATGGGCATGTGGTGTCCTGGCAGGCTCAGTCTCTGCCTTCCTAGCACCTCCCAGCCCACTGAAGTTGCAGAGGTATAAGGTGATGCTGAGTCTCAGCACCTGTGATACTGGAGTCTCCCGGGGTGAGAGGGGCTCCCATGTTCCCTAGAGGGGCTTTTCTGCCTCTGATAGTACTCCAAGACTTAGAGAGGAGTCCCCTTACCCAGGCAGGCACTGTGAAAATTTACAACCAATATTAACAGTTCGGTGAATAAATGAGGAGCTGGGAACTTAATTCAGTGGTGGAGTGCTTGGTTACATGTGCAAAGCCTTAGGAAAACAGACAAGGAAGGGAAGGGGACTTATCTTGTCAGTGTAGAATCTTGCCTGCCTAGCATCATAAGGCCTGCATTCCATCCCTGGAGGGAAAAAAGACAACAGTATCTCTCTTCCCTGCCCTTCCTCGTCTGTAGTTTCCAGACACTCAAGTGCCCAGTGGTGGCCCTCATTTGCCGTGATGTCATAGGCATCTCTGAATTCTCTGTGCTCACCATCTTGTGTCCTTTTGAAAACAATGGAGATGATGTATTGTAGAAACCCCTTTCCTGCGGTCCCGCCGATGGGCGAAACCATCCTCCTCCCCTTCCCTTTCTTTCTTTCCTTTTTTGAGACAAGATTTCATTACGTAGCCTTGGCTAGCCTCAACTCAGAGATCCATCTGCTGACGCCTCAGAAGTGCTGGGATTAAAAATGTGAGCCACTAAGCCCTGCTCCTTCCCCTTCTTCCTTTTTTTTTTAAATTTTATTTATTTATTTACTTTTTTGGGTATGTTGTTGTTGTTGTTTTGAGACAGGGTTTCTCTGTGCAGCCCTGACTGTCCTGGAGCTAGCTCTGTAGACCAGGCTGGCCTCGAACTAACAGAGATCCACAAGCCAGTGGTGTTTCCCATTCACAAGGTGCTCTCATCCCTCAGACCATTTCATGACATCACCAAGAAACCTCATACATATCAGCTGTCGCTCTTCATTTCCTCAACTCCTTTCCCTGGCAACCACCGGTCTGCTTTCTATCTCTCTGGATTTGCCTGATCTGGGCATTTCCCACAGATAAAATCTACACTAGGCTCTCCTGCGCGCCTGGCTTTGACTTAGCAATGATGTGTTCAAGGTTAGTAGCACTGGGTAAGTGCCTCCTTCCGAAGGTCAGCGACCTCTTGAGCGGGCCACGGATGTCCTTCCCACTCACCATTTGTGGTGTTTGGGTTGCTTTTGCTTTTTAACTGTTGTGAACGGTGCTGCTTGGCGCATTTATGTGCAGGTTTTGGTGTGTTTGTGTGTTCTGTCTCTGTTGGGTGTGGACACGGGAGTAGAATTACTAGATCATGTGGTAATGTGGAATTGCTGGTCTCACAAGCCCATGGGGCTTCAGCCGCCAGGTTTTCCTGCTTTTTGTGCCCCTGAGCCAATGTCTGAAGCTAGATAGCCTGGATTTGAGCCTGCTTTGTGAGTTCTGGTCTTGCAGTCCTGCTGGGGCTCCAGTGTCACCAGCTGTAAAAGGGGTAGGCATAGATCCACAGCCACCCAGGCTCTGTGAAAAGCAGATTCCTGACTACAGCCCTCTCTCACATCTGGTAGGGAAGCCATGTTTCTGGGGTCACTTCTCATCTGTGTGCCTGCCCATCCAGTTAGGTGGGATGCACTGAATGAAGAAGACAATGAGCACCAGTTCTGGCAGGATTTGGGCGGGGACTGTAGGGGTGCCACAGTTCAGCTCTCCAGGCTGTGCACTGCTGCCGCTCCAGATCTTATTGAGCTCCTCACGGCAGTTGGTTGGGGTGTAGATGAGCTGCCCCCAGAGTTTCCATCAAAGAACAGCCATCTCAGTTATGCTGGGTTGTTACTGTCTTCACATTCCAGGGCTAGAAGGTTAGAATTCTACCTGATATCTCAGAACCTTCTGTTTCTTTGTAGACTGGCTGGCAGACTTTCTCCAGCTCTGTGAGCAGGCTGTGGGGACTGCCGGCTTTGCCGTTCTTTGAATGGTGCCTAGCACTGGGCAGCTGCATACAGCATTAGCTATTGTGGTTATTGTGTTGTTAGAGTCTGACTGAACCCAGCTGTGGGCCCGCAGACTGGTGGGAGATCTGGGGCACTGACCAAGCCTTGATCTCTTATCTGTACAGTGGGTTGAGTGAGTTCATCCTGGGAGGACTGAAGTGAGGGTCACATAAGGAGGCCAACAGGAGTCCAGCAGGGGCTGGTAATGGGAGTGTAGGAACAGGCAAGGTCAAGGTGCTGGGAATAGAAGCTCAGCACATCTGTGGGCCCCCTGAAAGGCTAGCTGCCCCAGCCTTTCCTCACCCACGGCTGCTTTTTGATTCTTTGTTTTTCTTTTTGTGTGTGGGGGGGGTGGGGGGGGGATGGAGACAAGGTTTCTCTGTGTAGCCCTGCCTGTCTTGGAACTCACTCTGTAGAACAGGTTGGCCTTAAACATATAAGGTGAGCACACCACTGCCCAGCTGATCCTTTGTTTTTTATTTCATGCCTTTTGTTTTTACAGTCATGCTATTGTAGTTTATGGAAACACTCAGGCAGCAGGGCCCTGCCCTGCCCCCATAGGACTGGAGTGGGGGTGGGTGCCCGTATTAACCACATATTCACCTGTCCTGTGTTCATCTATCCTGTTTCTGCAGGGAGGAGGTACAGGAGAATTGTGTGCGGTGGCGGAAGAGGTTCACTTTTGTGTGTAAGATGAGCGCCAACCCGGCCACAGGCCTGCTGGACCCCTGCATCTTTCGAGTGTCCGTGCGCAAGGTGAGGCGGGTTTGTGTGACTGGGCCTAGGGTTGTGAGCTCAGAGCTGAGGATGGGTGTGAGACTCTCCACCTGTGGGTGTAGGCGCTTTTCCTACCAAGTCCATTGCAAGGAGAAATGTGAGCTGTTAACCTGCTCCTTTCTGTGTTCTGTTTTCATGGTGCTTTGGGGCCTTCTCTGAGAGACCAGGGTTTCCTAGTCATGCCTTATGTGTCTGTGTCTCTGCAGGAGCTGAAAGGCGGGAAGGCATATTCCAAGGTAAGAGGGCCGTGTTCCGCACCACCCCGTGCCTTCTTCCTTTTCCTGGCACTTACTTCACTAGTTGTGTTAGGGATTGGTTAAAACTTAGCAGACATTACCCAGCCTCTGCTTCCTAGTGCTGGGGCTGAAGGGATGTGCGACCACTCCCAGCTTCTGTACTCGGAGTCTATGTTTTCTGTGTGTGTGTGTTGTTGGAGATTGAACCCAGGGCCTCATGCATGCTAGGCAAATATTTTACCACTGCTCCATTTAGGGAGTGCCGTGTGGCACGTGTGTGCTTGTAAGCAGCAGTTGTGCAAACCGATGCACAGATTCTGCGGCTTCAGCTCCTCACTTACCCAGGGTATCATGGGTATCTTGCAGGTCACCTCAGCTTCCTGTACTCTTTCTAATGGCAGCAGTGTCCCACTGTGTGGCTGGTGACTCAGATTCAGCCATTCACTGCTGCTGTAGACTGTGTTGATCCTAGGCTTTCATTAATGCTTCCCTTCCACCCCCACCCTTGCCCCCACTCCTGACTTCAGCCCTGGGAGTAAAACCTTTTCTATGGGAAAGATCGGGAGAAGATGACCTAGCTTTGAATGAGCATGTTCTGTCCTCCATCTCTTGTCTCTGGGGGACTCGTGGCCGGCTCAGCACAAGGCAGATGACCTCTGACCCTGTGGGAGATACCTGAGACAAAGGTAGAATGGCTCAGACATCCCCACTGCTAGAGCTCCAGAAGCCCACAGCTCTGTTTGCCTGCCCTGGCCGGGCAATGGAGGGGCTGTCAAATTGTCAGTGTACAGCCAAGGAGCCTTCAGCTCACATCAGATGCTGCCAGACCTTCCCTGCTTTTCCATGGCAGGACCTTACCTTTATCCCATTATACAAATGAGGAAACCAGTACCTACAGAGGGACTGGACTATAAAATGGGGTCCGTCTGAGTCATTTCTGATCCTGTAGTCTGTGCGCCTAAATATTGTAGTCGAGCCCTGTATGTAACTGGCGCACAATAAATGTCCCAATTAGTTTGCTGTCCTGGTGATCCCCAAGCCTGTCTCTCTGTCACTTCAGCCTCAGTTTCCCCTGTTCTGCTGTCGCTCACATCTCACCTGTACACATCCTCAGAGGAACAGGTCCAGACTGGTTGGCGGAAAGTCTTACCCAGTAAGCCCGTGCACGCGACACAGTGTCCATATGATAGATTCTTCCCTCTACTGGGGACGTCATGGGGACCCTGCCTACTCTGTAGTGTCTCGTCACCTCACTCTGCCACCCAGTTCCCATGGGCCTGCCCGCTCTTCTGCCTGCTCTCTGTCAGCTCCCGACAGCATGGCCTTGTTTCCTTGGGAACAATGTGTCTGTGTCACAGACAACAATGTCCTTTCATCTCGGGCACACTGGCCCTAGTGCACCCTGGGACTCCACACAAAGGGTGCTTTGTGGCATTCAGGGATGTGAGCTCCTTGCTTTGCCACATTGGTGCCGCTGACCCAGGATCCTGTCCTTGAGTCCTGGTTATGCAACAGTCAGTGTGGCTATGGGGTGAGCCTGTCCTCCTCTCCCCACCCCTACCAAATTAACCCCTCGGTGCCTCTGGTGCCCAGCACCCACACTCCCTGCAGCCTCCCACATTTTCTGTTCTCCTCCCAGCTTGGCTTCACTGACTTGAACCTGGCTGAGTTTGCAGGCTCAGGCTCCACCGTACGCTGCTGCCTATTGGAGGGATATGATACCAAGAACACCCGCCAGGACAACTCCATCCTCAAGGTACCTGTGCCCTGCTACCTCTTCTGCCTTCCCAAGGGGCAGGGACAAATGTACCTCCTCATCAGAAGATACAAGTTCTCAGGGAGGATGTGGGCCCCTGGGTTATGACCTCAGTTTTCCCATCCATGGTTGGGTGTGACCCCCACCTTCCAAAAGGGCTTGATAAGTACCTTTGTCAAGATGAACCTTGTGCCATGTGCCTGTCCTTTTCTCTCTCGTGGCCCTGACAGCAAGCACAGCTTGTGGGTGTGGTATCTGTCATTAGCTCCAAGTTTCATCATCTGCCCTAGCTCATAAGCAGAGCTAACACTTAATCCCACCAGTCATATAGCTGCATAGCCTGGGTCCCAATTGTTGCCCATCATGATCTGAGATTTCCTGGCTCCTTGTGAGGTATCATTGAGTAGAACTGATGTTCTGAACCCATGTGAGCTCCAAGGCAGGGCAGGCCACACAGGTCTCTAGCAGCCCGGGTAGCTCATTTCCCTCAGGCAGCTGCTAATGTATCTTCTTCTTCTTTTTTTTTTTTTTTTAAATATTTATTTATTATGTATACAATAGTCTGTCTGTGTGTATTCCTGTAGGCCAGAAGAGGGCACCAGATCTCATTACAGATGGTTGTGAGCTACCATGTGGTTGCTGGGAATTGAACTCAGGACCTTTAGAAGAGCAAGCAATGCTCTTAACCTCTGAGCCATCTCTCCAGCCCTGCTAATGTATCTTCTTCGGAGCAGAAATACCCAGGTGTCTGCATCAGAACACCTTCGTCCTTTCCCACACCCTTTAGAGTCTGGCTGAGAAAAACGGTTTGTCCTAATACCACGTCTAAGCTGACCTAAGAGTGGCCTGCTGTGCCCGGCACAGAGCTGGGCACAAGGTAATCGACAGGACATGAAACACATCTGAATAGGGTGTAGGCTGATAAATGTGGTAGCATGCTGTGTCATCCCAGAATTTGAAGCTGAGGTAGGAAGATCATGAGTTTGAGGCCAGTCAGAACTACACAAGAATCAAGAACCTGTCTTTAAAAAAAAAAAAAGAACTGGGCAGTGGTGGCGCATGCTTTTAATCCTAGCACTTGGGAGGCAGAGGCAGGCAGATCTCTTGAGTTTGACACCAGCCTGGTCTATAAAGTGAGTTCCTGGACAGCCAGGGCTGTTAAACAGAGAAGCACTGTCTCAAAAAGGAAAAAAAAAAAAATGGTGATATGTGCCTTTAATCCCAGCACTCAGGAGGTGGAGGCTGGTGGCTCTGCATGAGTTCCAGGGCAGTCAGGACACAAGACCCTGTAGGAAGTAAGAAAGAATGGGAAGATCAGACTGGTTAATGGAAAGTCTTTCCCAGTAGGCCTGTGTACTCTGTTAGAAAGAAACCTGGAGCCAGGTGACCTCAGGTCAAGGCCAGCTCCCCTATATCCTGTCTGCTGAGTTTTGTGAAGTCAGCTGTCCTCAGAGTCTTGCTTCCCCCACCTGCAACTGGATCTGTCACCTACTTTGTAGACCGTTATCACGGCCAAGTGAAATGATCCATAAATAAGCCTGAGCCCAGAGGCTATGGTGACATCACACTGAGGTCTGGGATCTGAGCACTTCTTTCCCGGTCTGTTACTCTCCGCCTGTTACTCCTTCTCAGCCCATATTTTGAGACTCAAACTTAACCGTTGGCAGAATCATTTGCAAGTGGGTTCTAAATTCTATACTGGTTGGATATTTTACTTCATTTAAAAAAACAAAACAAAAAAACTTACTGGGTGGTGGTGTCGGCGCACACCTTTAATCCCAGCACATGAGAGGCAGAGAGGCAGGCGGATCTCAAGTTTGAGGCCATTCTTGTCTACAAAGTGAGTTCCAGGGCAGCCAGTGCTACAGAGAAACCATGTTTGGAAAAGATATAAAACAAACAAAAATTTTGAGCCAGCCCCGTTTGCCATGGTTGGGCCCTGTGAGTACTCCCTACTTCTTGTGTGGCTCCTTGAGCCCTGTTCCCCAGCTCCGAGTTGGGGAGAGCAGGTGTGAGAGAGTGTGGCCTGGAACTCACGGTCTAGTTGTGATGTGTAATTGCAGGTGTGAGAGAGTGTGGCCCTGGAACTCACGGTCTAGTTGTGATGTGTAATTGCAGGTGTGGGTGAGTGTGGCCCTGGAACTCACGGTCTAGTTGTGATGTGTAATTGCAGGTGTGGGTGAGTGTGGCCTGGAACTCACGGTCTAGTTGTGATGTGTAATTGCAGGTGCCGACTTGTATGGGGCACTAGGTGCCAAGTGGGCCTTGTCACTCCTCTCCCCGGGCTGCCCAGTCTGTCCTCCACACAGGACACCGGGCTCACTGTGGGCAGGTGAAGCCCAGAGGCTGATCCGGGCTGGGTGTTGGCAGCCAGTGCTGATTTCTCTCCTCTACCAATAGGTCACTATTGGCATGTTCCTGCTCTCTGGAGACCCCTGTTTTAAGACGTGAGTGTCACCCTGGCTATCGGTGGGGTTGGGGGCCATGAAATAGATTCTTCGTTCCTCCAGGTTCTGGGGTACCCGTCTCCATCTGATCCTGAGATTGGGCACCCCAGTCACACCCCTCTGTCCTCCCAAGGCCGCCATCTACTGCCAAGTCCATCTCCATCCCGGGCCAGGACTCCTCCCTGCAGCTGACATGTAAAGGTGGTGGGACCAGCAGCGGTGGCAGCAGTAGCACCAATTCCCTGACTGGGTCCCGGCCCCACAAGGCCCGGCCCACCATCCTGGGTTCAGGTACCATCTTCATCTGCCTGTCTCTCCACTGCCTGTGACTACAGCTTCTCCCCTGAACATCCTGTCCCAGGAAGATGCTTATCAAGAGGAGGGTACAGGCATAGTGATGCACACCTTTAATCCCATCACTCAGACAGAGGAAGAAGAATCTCTGATTCTAGGCTAGCCCGGGCTACATATGGAGACCCTATCTCAATGAGGGTGGTGGGGTGGTGGAAGAGGATGCATGCTTCTGCTGGTGCTGTCCTTGCTCTTGTGGTCTGAGGGCCATGATAGCCCCTCTCAGGGCTACCCTCAAAGCTGGGAGGCGGGGGCCTGAGGTGATTAGTGAGCAGATGGTATGTGTGGCTCTCCAGACCTGAGAGCTTTGCACCTCACTACCAGGCTTGACTTTCCTAGGCACTGCCGCCGCTTCCTGCCTTGGCTTGGCTTGTACAGGAGTGGGGCTTCCCAGCACCATCGCTCTTTCTAGCTGGTAGATACTGGGCCACAGAGGAGAGAGCTGTCTAGACGGGGGCCCTCAGCACACATGCTGTCCTGTGTAGACAAAAGGCAGTAATTCTCTCCTGAGCAGAGTGGGACCTAACAGCTGTTCCCCTACCTTATACAGCGAGCCTGAGCTGGTGTGATACATGTATGAGCCCCGTGTGGGAGATGGAGGCAAGAGGAACAGAGTTTAATCTACATAGCAAAACCAAATCCTCCTGGATTACTTGGGACCCTATCTTAAAATTTAAAAAAAATAAATAAAAATCTGGGCATAGTGGTACAAACTTTTTAATCCCAGAAGTCAGAGGCAGGTGGATCTCAATTAGAGGCAGCTTGGTCTGTATAATGAGTTCTGGGTCACTTGCCTAGTGAGACCCTATTCAAGAAAAAAACAAAACCCTGCCTGGCTTCGGTGGGAATATGGCAGACCTGAATGCAGCCTGTAACTTGAATATCTCTGCTCATCTCTGGAGTGGAGGAGGTTGGTAAGGCGGGGATGTGTGCATGCGCAGAGCCATGCCAGGTTCCACCTAGTTCCTTTTGTTCACAGCCGGGGAGTGAGGGCCAGAAAGGGGGTTTGAACTGACCTAGAACATAGCTGTTGCCTGTCTCGGGGTCTTGTCTTTTTCTGTCCTCCCTGCTTTTCTTTTCCCAGATTTGCCAACAAACCCAAGTTCATTCTAGTTTCAAGGCTTTTAGTATGTTGTTCCCTGTGTCTGGAAGGCCATGGGCCTGCTGCCTTCTCTGTCCCCTCTGTGGTGGCCTAACAGTCTCAGCACTAAGCTCTGTCCTGGGAAAAGTCTGATTTGAGCTACAGACTGGCCAGGCCTCCATGGGTGCTGTCCTGATCCACACACCCACCATGGTTGTGGATAACTTTCTCATCTTTTGTCCTCAAAGACCTGTAGATAGTCTACTGGAGAAGGTCCCAACAGCCACTTGAGGAATGGGTGACTTCCTCAAGTAGGTAGATTGCTGCTCCTGTAGCCCCTGATCTTCAGTCTGTGGTGAGCTGGCCCCTTACTGACCTTGCTCCTCTCCCCAGGACTTCCAGAGGAGCCAGAGCAAAGCCTGTCCAGTCCCGAGGAGGTGTTCCACTCTGGCCACTCCCGCAACTCCAGCTATGCCAGCCAGCAGTCCAAGCTGTCTGGTGAGTGGTCAGGCCTTAACGTGGGGATCTCTGGTCTCCCACAGCCTTGGGGCCCTGTCATCAATTGCCTTCCCAATATTGTCCACCCCCTAGGCTACAGCACAGAGCACTCTCGCTCCTCCAGCCTGTCTGACTTGACACATCGCAGAAACACGTCCACTAGTAGCAGCACCTCTGGTGGCCTCAGCATGACTGTAGAGGGTCCTGAGGGCATCGACAAGGAACACCGGCCCCCAGAGAAGCCACCTCGACCTCCTGAGAAGCCACCACGACCCCCACGACCCCTGCATCTGTCTGACCGCTCATTTCGGTGAGTCCTATGAGTCCTATTATTTGAGACTCCTTGGTAAACAGAACCCTTCTAGTGCTCCCTGTACTTTGCATCTGACCACACAGGGACTACAGAATAGATTCCCCATCTCCAAGTGTTGAATGGTTATGATTTTACCAGCTGCTGGCTGCAGGAGCACAGCCCTGGGCTAGGCACGTACCCTTGCTATCCAATCCAGAGCTGCTGTTTGTGGTTTTGTGTATTAGTCTGTAGACCCAGCCGATTGTGTTTGAGCCTTACATCCCCTGCATACATGTTCAACTTGAAGGGTACTTAACTTTAGTCCTATTAACACCTGCCGCTGAGGATGAACGGGAGGGTTCAATGAAGTGCAGCTTGGGTGTGCATAGAGTGTTCTAGTGCCATAGGTGCTGGGGTTATCCTTGTCTTGATGTTGTGCCTGTCACTGCCCTGTCATAGTTCTGTCCCTCTCCCTCAAGGCGAAAGAAGGACTCAGTGGAGAGCCACCCAACCTGGGTGGACGATACTCGCATTGATGCGGATGACATTGTGGAGAAGATAATGCAGAGCCAGGACTTCACCGATGGCAGCAATACTGAGGGTGAGCTGGCCACTTCAAGCCATCTGGGGGCGATGATAACCTCCAGAGGCTACTCCTGCCTGCTCAGCCTCTGTCTTCCCTTGTGTCCCCACAGACAGTAACCTTCGGCTGTTTGTGAGCCGTGATGGCTCCACCACGTTGAGTGGCATTCAGCTGGCCAACAGGTAGGGACTGGAGACAGGGAGGTGTGGCAAGGCAGCCACAGGGACCACTGACCTGGCTTTGAGCACCCATTTTGTCAACAGTGACCTTACCCATTCATCCTCAGTCCTTGCTGTGTCTTCAGAGTGCCTTCTCACAGTCCTTTGTGTGTCTGTGAGTCCAGTGTGTCTGGCTCCCCAGGCCTTTGAGCCAGTGAGTGAGAGTAGTGTCCAGCATACAGGACTGTCCTAGGGCTTTCCCTTGTGTTTCTGGGAGCTAAGAACATGTCCTTTGAACTTCTGGATCCAGAGCCCAAAAACCTTTGTGAAGTGTGTGTCTTGTGCTACTCTGCTGACCCCTGCTGGCTGAGGCCAGAAATTACAACTACCCTCTCCCAGCATTCCTCTGGGCTGCCCTGGGTGGAAGAGCAAGAAACCTCGGGGTTCTTTTTACAAAGGTGATAAAGACCTTAGACCACTTGTAGAATGAGAAGCCGGGACTTGGAGACTGGAGGAGGAAAGCCTGGTTCTGCAGGACCCAAGCAGTGAAAAGAGCAGATGCACTCCCTTAGCATTTTCCACACACACTTTTTTTTTTTTTTTTTTGGTTTTGAGACAGGGTTTCTCTGTAGCTTTGGAGCCTGTCCTGGAACTCACTCTGTAGATCAGACTGGCCTCGAACGCCTGCCTCTGCTTCCCAAGTGCTGGGATCAAAGGCACACGCCACCACTGCCTGGCTTTCTTGCCAAGATTTGTCCCTCCAAACCTGTTTCTTCATTTGTCAAATGACCCAGGGAACAATCTCTCCTTGTCTGGGTGGTCCGTCCAGGTGTGTATGTACACAGCTGATGTCCAGAGGGAATGAGGCACAGTGTGGACCCGTTTCCGTCCCCCCTGGGAAATAGCTAACCATCTCCGGGCGTCACTTCAGCCCCCTGTCATCACTGGTAGCCGTGGTGGCATGTGGAGTACCCACAGGGCTGGCCCAGGGCAGCACTCAGTAACTGGAGCATCAGAGGGAATAAGCTCACTTTTCTCTCCCCCGCAGAGTCTCCTCTGGAGTCTATGAGCCTGTCGTGATTGAAAGCCATTGAGGGACCAGGTCTGAGGAAGGGCCCTGCCGTCTCTTGCACCCGGGTCAGCAGCGTTCCTGGAGGAGCCGGAAGCTGCCCTTCGGATCTGCTCTGCATCGCGCCTGTGCCTCCTTGTACTCTAGCCACACCAGCCCCAAAGCATCATTCCATTGTCCTTCGTCCACCCCGAACCACTGTGAATATTGTCCTCTGAACCACTAGAAAATGGGGAAGATGGAGCTGGCCAGGACTGCCCAAACTAGAGAGGACCTGGGCCCAGCAAAGGACACAGCCACTCCTTCATGTTGGGGTACTTGTGGCTGCCACCCTCATGACCTGCTTACTGCAGGAGCAACAGCTTCAGCCAGTCTAACAAGGCTCTTGCTCCTTCGTCTTGCCCTTGAGGAGCTGGACCCTCCCCAGAATCCTGCCACCTCTGACCCTCCGCTTAGTGCTTCAGCTGTCCTTATATCCTGAGGAGACCTGCTGGCAGCTTTCTCCTGGGAGCCAAGACCTCAACCCCACCTCCCTCATCAAATGCTCTCCTGCTGCCCTGCAGCCTGCACTTTGCACGTGCTTGTCCCCGACACAGCCACCGATCCTTGCCCTTATCCTGGACTCCTGGGTGCTGTCTGCTGTGCAGCCAGACCTAGGGTACAGTCGCCCGGCTGGAACGTGGCACTGCCCCTTCCCTCAAATTATCCCCAGTTCAGACCCAAGAGCAGGGCCTAGAAAGGTCTGAGCATCATGGTGCGATCTGCTAGGGCTGGGTCCTGAGCAGCTGGCCTTCCTGCAGGAAAGGAAGGGTGGGGCCCAGCTGTGCTGGGTAAGCAAAGGCCTCTGCTTTCCTGTCAGCAGGCCTGGGCTGGGTTCCAGGCTGGAGAGGCAGTCAGCCAGGTGGGCTGTGACTGCACGGACTGGAGCTGGTTTATTGCCAGACAAGCCTCAGCCCTCTGGGCAAGGGGCATGCTTTCCCTGGGGAGTCTGGTCCTGTGCCCTGCTCAGGCCTTCCCCTTACTACCCACCCTCTTGGTACCTCCCCAGCCCCAGCACTTTTTGTGTCTTCTGTAATTTGCTTAAAGGAGGCGGGTACTGGCTGCCAGTTCAGCCCTGGATAAATTCCCACCCCCAAGTTTCACTCATTTTGTATGAACCCAGCAGGCTGGCGTTTCCTTAGCCTTTAGGTATTTTCCTTTTCCTCCTAAGTTCACAGCTTGGAATTCCCACCTCCCCCAGCAAGGGGAGGTAGGTGCCTCTGTTCCCCACTCCACCTACATCTCAGCAGGGCTGGGGACAGGGAACTGGGGTGGGGGCAGGGTACAGGCCACTCGTTCTGTGGATGGGGGATAGCTGGACTCCCCAGGTTGGGAGGTCCCTTGCTCAGTTTCTGTCTTCCTTAGTTAGCAAAAGTTGGGGCTGTGATTTTAGAGCCTTCCTGGTGTTAGGGCTGGGGCATTTCTAGGGATTCCGTTGCCATTGTTTTAAATACCTGACGACTCTTGGAAATAGATGTTAGAAGGCGCTGCCGAGGCAGAGCAGAACATGGCTGGAGAAGGTTCTGCTCAGCTCAGAGAGTCCTTTCCTGCCCAGCGGGTTTTTGGCACTTTAAGGGACGCTGGCAGCCTTGTTTCTAGGTGAGGTGACCTCTAGAAAATGGAGAGAGCACTACCACTCTTGCTTGTCTATGTCTGGTCCAGAATTCCAGGGCTCCAAACAAAGCAGTTAGTGCTGTCAGGAAGGACGCCTCCAGCCCAGGTCTGAACCAGAGGGTCTCTCTGCCACGTTACTCCCGTTCTAGACACTGGGCTGAAAACACGGCCACAACCAAACTAACATTGGCAGGAGCCAGAGACGAAGAGTCCTCTTGAGCTCGGTGATTCCCACATGCTGCCCAAGCACCTAGACTTCAAATTCTATATACAGAGATAGGCTATATTAAGAGATATTTTTGGAAAGGAATTGGTCTATGCAATGCCAGTTTGGAGCCTTGAAAGACAGTTTACTATTTCTACTAGGAGATATAAAGGTCTACAATATTTTTAGGGTTCTTTTCTGGTTATCCCCACAACTGGCCACACTGCGTGGTCTGGCAGGAAGGAGAAGGCGGGTCTTCCTCTGTGGGAGGTGAAGAAGGAATATTTGGTTTTGCTTTACTCCCTCCTTTTCTAACAATGTTCCCGCTGCTCCCCATTTCATGGGCTGTTTGTATCTCTGTCTCTGCTTACAGTAGAACATAATGTCATTCGGGGAAATCAGCCTAGTGTCAGTGTTTGATTGGGGGGGGATTAAATGTTGATGTTTTTGTTACTCTGTTTCGTTGTTTGTTTTTTTAATTATCTCATTACCATGTTCACTTGGGGGCCAAAACAACAGAAGCTCGCCATATGTCTTATATATGTTGGATGAAATGCTGGGGAAAGTTTAGGAGGCCAGGGTTTGCCAGTCTGCCCCCAGTCATAATCTCCACACACTCAAAAATCAGGCTCCAAAGCCACAGAGAAACCCTGTCTCAAAAAAAAAAAAAAAAAAACCAAAAAAAAAAAAAAAAAAAAAAAAAAAAATCCCCTGTGAGTGTGTGTCTTGGCTGTCCTTGAACTCAGAGAGCCACCTGCCTCTGCCTCCTGGTGCTGGGATTAAAAGTGTGAGCCACCATTGTCCTGCTTTGCCTTTCAATTCTATTTGTGAGGAGTGGGCACAAAAAGGACATAGAAGGTAGCCAGGCAGTGGTGGCACACACCTTTAATCCCAGCACTTGGGAGGCAGAGGCTGGTGGATCTCTGTGAGTTCGAGGCCAGTCTGGTCTACAAGGGCTAGTTCCAGGACACCTAGGACATTGAGAAACCTTATCTCGAAAAACCAAAAAACAAACAAAAAACCCCACACTGGGGCTGTGAAGGCACAAAGAGGGAGCTGCTGCCTTGGTGGGGACACAGGGCCATCCAGAAACGTGGCAGTCAGAACCTAGTGGGAAACCAGCCAACATAACGGAGTATCATTCCCTCAGCCAGTGCAAATCCTTCTCATCTGTGTTGGCTTGCCTGTCCCCACCTCCCCTGGGCCAGTGGCGGTCATTCTACAACCTTTTTCACAATTTCAGGATCGGGAAATAGAACCTTTAAATTCTGGTGTCTACTTCACCATTGGCTTAGATTATGGTCTGTCCGCTGACCCTCATTTTTCCTACGTGGGGTGGGGGAAGACTTCCAACCCCGGGATGCATCTCTCTCTGGCTTGGGGCAGTGATGTTTAAGGGAGGATTATTGGTTGGGAAGGTTATGACAGTGCTGTAGCCACAAAAACCAGGAAGTCTGAGTCACCAGCCAGTTTCCTTTAGAGACTACATTTCCCGACGTGCAAAGCGGTTGGGGGACGTGCCCGCACGTCTGACCTGGGCTAGTCCAAAGACTACAACTCCCAGAGTACCAATCTCGATTTACAAGCCGGAAAGTTCTCAACCAGGAACCGGATGTGTCCTGTTGCTCCGGCGAAACACTGGGGAGATGGTGAGCCGGGGTTGCGGTACCTCTGTGATTTGGGGGTATCAATGGTGGGGCCTGGAGTCTCATTTGGGGTCGGGCTTTCCGAACCCGGATCGCTCTCCCGGCCGCTTGTGGACAGATGACACAGGGCCCGGCGTGGCTTCCTAAACTGGAGCGCCACTTCTAGTCAGCCCCCGTCTACAGCTGTTGAATGAATGAGAAGCTAGGCGTGTAAACTGGCTGCGCGGACCCTCCATTAGTGCACGCCCTCGTAGCGTCATCTCGCCAGCTGAGCCTTCCTTTTTCTCCAGGCCACCGGGACAGACCAAGTGGTGGGATTTGGCCTCGTCGCCGTTAGCCTGATCATCTTCACTTACTACACCACTTGGGTGATTCTTTTGGTATGTGCCCCCGCCCCCCAAGCTCACCTTCATCCTGCCCTATATTTCTTAATAAGCCGACTCCTAACACGACTCAAGCATCTGCATGCCAGGCACTGTGCTGGGTGCTTGGCCTGCCATAATTTCACGAAATCTCCACTATGATTATTGATGGTGTCTACATTTTATAGGTGAGGTTGAGACCCAGGGAAAAGGGTAAGGCCCAGCCTCTTTCCACTGCTGCACTGTACGGTTAGCCAGCACCTCCTGGGTGTAGCAATCGCCAGGAGATTTTATTAACACCTTGAGGCTTTCTCTCTCTCTCTCTCTCGCTCGCTCTAATGTGGGAAAAATCTGTTAGTTATTGCTTAAAAGTGCATTGTGTTTGAAAAGGGGAACCTTGCAGTCAGTACCTGGTATCCTTTAGAAAGAAAATTTAGGTGGGTGGAGAGATAGATAGCTCAGCGGTTAAGAGCAGTGGCTGCTCCTCCAGAGAACTGGGGTTCAAGTCCCAGCACTCACATGGCCAGCTACAACCATCTATAATCCATTTCCAGGAGATCCAGCAAAAGGCCAGGCAGTGGTGGCACACGCCTGTAATCCCAGCACTCGGGAGGCAGAGGCAGGCGGATCTTTGTGAGTTCGAGGCCAGCCTGGTCTACAAGAGCTAGTTCCAGGACAGGCTCCAAAGCCACAGAGAAACCCTGTCTCGAAACCTCCCCTCACCCCAAAAAGAAAGGAGATCCAGCAAAAGTACCTGGCACACTAGTCTTAAGTGTTAGCTGGGTTGGAGATCCATGGCGTGGATGAGGTGCACCTGCATGCACGTGCACATATGTATAATCAAAAAATAGAATAATTTTAAAAGACCTAGAGTTCCTGCATTCCAAAGGCAGAGAGAGGAAGGGAGGTCTCTGTGAGGTCAGCGTGGACTACATAGCAAGGTCCAGGTCAGCCAGGGCTATGTCATGAGACCTTGCCTCAGAAAATAAAAAGATTGGTTTCCAGCACTCAGAAGGCTCCCTGAGATAATGCGGTGAGACTTTGTTAAAATACATATCCACCTAGAAGAGCGAAGGTTCCCTACCTCTTGGGGATTCCTCATGATTCTTCGCTAGACTCAGGATACCATCAGGACAGCTCCAGCCCCTTGGACAGAGGAGGTGGGCTGGCTTCCTGTTCGGGCTGGGTAAGACGAGCAGTACTCACCAGAGCTCTTGCCCTTGGTGCCAGCCATTCATCGACAGCCAGCATGTCATCCACAAGTACTTCCTGCCCCGTGCCTATGCTGTCCTCATCCCACTGGCCACAGGCCTCCTGCTGCTCCTGTTTGTGGGTAAGTCTCCCATTCTCCAGGGGTCTCCTGATCCGGGGCAGGGTATGTGGAAGACTGGCCACACTCACCCGAGTGTGCGTCCACTCTCTGACACTTGCTGTACATCTGCTTAGAAGCTCCTTGTCCCCAGCTCTCCCTGGGGTTTTCCGGTTCCTCCTTAACAACCACAGGCTCTTGGGGCAATAAGGGCATGTCTCCCTCCTGCGGTCGCAGCCTCATCCGCACTCCTGGGCCACCTACTCTCCTGCCACCCTTGCATCTCTTATTGCTCCCATGGGCTGGGGACTGTGTCTTCATCATTACAGCGTTCTAAGCTCATGGGAGTGACGCTGAGCTAGTGCAGAGTGATTCGGGGGACGGGACAGTAGGATGGGGTGCTGGTGGGTAGGAGGGCGGATGTGTGAGTAGATGGATAGGAAAATCATGCCCCACAAAATCGGAAGCACTCAGCAAAGCTCCTTGCATTCACTTGACGATGGTTGACTGGCCCACAGGGTGTTTGCTTGGGAGCCCGACCTTGCGTGTGGGTCGTCTTGCCCTGCCATCCAGTCTTCACTTAGGCCAACCCAGTCTCTCACTCTGTCTTCCAGGATTGTTCATCACCTATGTGATGCTGAAGAGCCAGAGGGTGACCAAGAAGGCTCAGTGAAGGGCCAGCGATGAGGCTTCCAGAACCTTCTCCATATCTCCTCCAGGGAAGAGGCCAAAGGTCACAGCCTGCGAGACAGCCTGGCTGTGCTGCAGCCCTCTTTGGGAGGTGGGACAGCTTCCAAGTCAGCTCTGACAAACTGGAACCCTCTCCCCTCTTACTTGTCCTTCCAGAAGCCAAGAGGAAGGTTGATTGGGAAACCTCTCCCTCATTCCCTTTGGGCTCAGGCCTGAGCATGGCTGGTCCTGTCCACCTCACAGTCCAAGCCCCCTGCCACTCCCACAGGGTCCTGCTCTCGTCTGTGTTCCTCTTGTCATGTGCTGATAGACACAGCAGGCTCCACGGTTGTGTGCAGCCTCCCTGCCTCCTGGACAAACCCTGTCCCTTCTCATGGCAGCTCTGTGTCTGACACTGCCCAGACTCCATGAGGACTTCTGGACCCAGAAAGCCCTAGGGAAAGACTGACAGACCACAGAACCCAGGCAGCCACCCCAGATCCCAGCTGGCCTGTTTGGGAAGATTTACAAATAAATATCAATCGTGTTGGTGTTTGTCTCTCTGCCGTCTTGCTTTGGGGAGAATGGCTGGAGGAGATTGCCTCATTGTCCTACCTCTGTGCTGTCCCTATGCTAGACACAGGTAAAGTGGGAACTGGGATAGATATGGTCCTGGCTGGGGAAAAGTCACAGCTGGGGAGTTGAGAGGAGCCTAGCACACCTTTTAAGGTCTTATATAGCCTAGACTGGCATTAAAATATGTAGCTGAGGATGACTTTGAACTTCTGGTCTTTTTTCTTTTTTTTTTTTGTTTTGTTTTGTTTTGTTTTTTGTCTCCATTTGTCCAGGGCTGGGACTCCAAGGTTGGGACACCACATCTGGGGTGAACATAGGGCTTCATGCTTGCTAGGCAAGCGTGCGTCCCTCACGCTGACTCTCTTTCCCCCATCTCTCATCTACATGACCCCAAATTGTATCAGTTCTCCCTCTTTTCTCAAACCCTCTCCAGCCCCCTTTTGAATACAAAGCCACCATCTCTTTTCCTAAAAGAGAGAGGGTCTCCACTCTGTGCTTCCCCTACCACTCTGGCTTCTCAAAAATACATTATCTGGCTAGAGAGATATGTTAGCAGCTACTCCAGGGGACCAGAGTCGAGTTCTAACACCCACATTTAAGTGACTTCCAGTCGCCTGCAATTCCAGCTCCAGAGGACCCGACCTCTCTTCTCGATTCCACTCTACCCCACAGACACATTTAAGCCAGCATGTCTGGACACCTTTCTCATCTATCATGCATGGCAGGGACTATCTAATCACTACAGCCACTGTGGTCTCTTACTTGTGGGGACGCACCAAGGCCCCCTGCACCCCCTACTCCCATCATTCCACTCTATACTTCTCAAGCACCAGTTTGTGCTGGGCGCTGAGGCAGGAAATTTGCTCCATGTGGCTTCTGCCCTGGTGGCAACTCCC